ACATATTATATATAATATATACATTACATCTTTATCCATCCTTCCATATCTTGGCTATGGTAAATAATGGTGAATATAGGAGCATGTATGTCTTTTTGAATTAATGTTTTTGTTTTCTTTGTATAAATACCCAAAAGTATGTTTATCCAGTTCTGGGTCATACGGCAGTTCTATTTTTAATTTTTGAGGAATCTTCATACTGTTTTCCATAGTACCTGCACCAATTTAAAATTCCACCAATAGTGTATGAGGGTTCCCTCTTCTCCACATCTTCACCAACACTAATTATCGTTGACTTTTTGATGATAGCCATTATGACAGGTGCGAGGTGGTATCTCATTGTGGTTTTGGTTTGCATTTCCATAATTATTAGTGATGTTGAACATCTTTTCATATGTCTGTTGGCCAGCTGTATGTCTTCTTTGGAGAAATGTCTATTCAAGTCCTCTGCTCATTTTTTAATCAGATTGTTTGTATATTTGATATTGAGTTGTGTGAGTTCTTTATATATTTTGATTATTAACCTGCTATTGGACATATCATTTGTGAAAATCTTCTCCCATTCAGTAGGTTATCTTTTCATTTTGCCGATAGTTTCCTTCGCTGTACAGAAACTTTTTAGTTTTAGGTAGACCCATTTGTTAATTTTTGTTTTTGTTGCCCTAGCTTAGGGAGACGTACTAAAGAAGATATTGTTAACACCAATGCAAAGAGTTTATTGCCTGTGTTTTCATCTAGGATTTTTCAGATTTCAGGTCTTATATTTATGTCTTTAATCCATTTTCAGTTTATTTTTGTATATGGTATAAGAAAATGATCCAGTTTCATTTTTTTTTGCATATATCTGTACAGTTTTCCCAATAACACTTATTGAAGAGACTGTCATTTCCCCATTTTATGTTCTTGCCTCCTTCGTCGTATATTAATTGACCATATAAGTAAGCATGTATTTCTGGGCTTTTTTTCCCCTTGATCTATGTGTTTTTGTAAAAGTACTGTACTGTTTTGTTTATTGTATCTTTGTAGCATAGTTTGAAATCAGGTCACATCATACCTTCCACTTTGTTCTTTTATTTTTCAAGATTGCTTTGGCTTTTAGGGGTCTTTGTGGTTTCATATAAATTTTAGGATTATTTGCTCTAATTCTGAGATGGATGCCATTGGTATTTTGATAGGGATTACATTGAATCTGTATGTTGCTTTGGGTAGTATGAACATTTTAACAATATTAATCCTTACAATTCATGAATATGGTATGTCCGTCCATTTATTTATATCCTCTTTGATTTCTTTCTTCAGTATCTTATAACTTTCAAAGTACAGGTCTTTCACTGCCTTGGTTAAATTTATTTCTAGGTATTTTATTTATTTATTGATGCAATTGTAAATGAGATTGTTATCTTAATTTCTTCTTCTGATTGTTCTTATCAATGTATGGAAATGCAACAGATTACGGTATGTTAATTTTGTATCCTGCGATGTTACTGAATTCATCTATTAGTTGTAGTAGTTTTCTGTGGAATCTTTAGGGTTTTTTATATATAGTATCATGTGATCTGCAAATAATGACAGTTTTACTTCTTCCTTTACAATTTCGATGCCTTTTATTTCTTTTCCTTATCTAATTGCTGTGGCTAGGACTTTCAATATTGTGTTAAATAAAAGTGGTGAAAACGGATGTCCTTGTCTTGTTCCTGAACTTAGAGGAAAAGCTTTTAGCTTTTCAGCATTGAATATGATATTAGCCCTTTGCTGTTTTTTAAACCACTGAGACCCATGACTTTGCAAAGCCTTTGTACTTCCTATTCTTTCTGCTTGGAGCATTATTTTCCTCAGTATTTTTATATTCCCTTTCCCATTTCACTCGAGTTCCTGCTTAAATATTACCTTATTTGGGAGCTTTCCCAATAACCTCTCTAAAACAGCATATCCTTCATTTATTCTCTTTCTTGCTCTATTTTTCACAATAGCATTTCCTCAAAATAATATGTATAGTCTGTCTTTTCCAGTAGAATGTGAGCATTTTCCTTTTTTTAATTTTTAATTTTTTTTTATTATGGTGACATTGGTTAATGAAATCCAATGAGTTTCGAGTGTACAATTCAACAGTAAGTCATATATATTTTGCATTGTACGTTCACCACCCATAGTTAGATTTCTTTCTGTCACTACATATTTGACTCCTTTTACCCCATCTGCCTTTGCCCTT